TCTCTCTCTCTCTCACTCACTCTCTCACTTACTCTCTCTCTCTTAGGACCAATTAATAATCATGTGGGAACCGCCGGCGCAACTATGCGGCGAACCCGTCAGCCAGTATACCATAGAAAGGCTTTACGAGGGACCGGGCCGTGAGTGGCACGCCATCGGCCAGACGCCCAAAACGGCGGTCAAAATCAAGAGTTTGGACCCACAGAGCAGAGTCCTCTTTCGGGTCAAAGCGGTCAACCCGTACGGCGAGTCCGACCCACTGGTGTCCGACTGGATCGGTGGCGACAAACCACCCGTTACTGCCCCCACACCTAAGGACTGCGATATTAATGTCCGTTTGGATGGTGTGATTGAACCGAAAAAGTTTGGCAAACACTCCGTACAGCTCGAGTGGCAAAGGGCTAGAGATCCCAATGTTGTATATAAGGTACAGTCATTCCCCCATTACCTACACACGCCCTCATATAAATGTAGACTAACCTAGTTTTGTATGAATAACAAAGTTTAACAAAATCCCAATAAACTTGTTTTAAAATAGTTAAGCAAGTATATCAAAATTAGTTAACAATCCAGCATGTTTCTAGAGTAACCAAGGTCATTTTTATAAATATAATGAAATAAGTATATAATAAAATAAATGATAACAAAATAGTAACTGAATCATACAAAAACCAATGTAACAGATCGAGAAATGGGACGACTCGTTGACCCGGTGGGAGCCCTACGCGAGCACCGGCAACAACTACGTGATCGTCGACGCGCGCCACTACCTGTCGGGCAAACGGCTCCGGGTGTACGCGTCGAACGGCGAGTGCCAATCCATACCATTGGAGTTCAAACTGTTGGCCCAAACGGACGCCAAGGGTGAGCCCCAATTGGGCCCGTTGGAGGTGAGCCAGGGCGATTTGCACAGCCACAAAATATCGTTACAGCCCATACACTCGCTGTCGGGCATATGGCAAGTGATGGACAAGGGCAACGACACAAACTCGCCCACACCCTCGCCCGGCCACCAGAGCCCACCCCACCCGACAGGCGGTCGGTTTGCGCTGAGAATATCCGACGGCGGCGGCGATGGCCAGCGGCCGAACCCATCGGCGCTGGCCGTGAGTCCGCCCGATAAGCAGCAAATTAGCGATGACGATGAGGATACGCCACTGGTGTTGCCCCCACTCCGACGCGTGCCACAGAGCGACTGGCGTCGACAGTCCAAAAACAACAATAAGTATATACCGTATAATTACACGCAAGGTTTGCGTAGAAATAAAAATTAAAGCCATTGTCTTGTAGTGGAAAAATTCGCTTGATACGTGATTCAGTGTGTTTTTTCTATTTTGTTTGTAAATTTTATTTTATTTTCTATGTTTATTAAATTACTATGTTTTGTTGCTTCATATTTGTTGTTGGTAACTTAATTTATTTTATTAATTCTGAGCGAATGATTATGTTATCGTTTAAAAAGTGTTAGTTATTTAATCATTAATTTAGTCTTTATTAAGTGATTACAAGTAATTCAGTGATAAGCGCACCGAAGAGCACATCCACCACAAGCAGAGTGTAGTCTAATCCCCGGCAAACTCTCTAAACACTGGCCACTAAACACTATGCTTGAAGTTGGTTTAGTGATGAGCGAAAGGTTAACCCTGGTTAATCTGAATCACCCAAAGCAATGCTCAGAAATCATAGGATAACATTAGGTGAGTGTTATTATATAACAAAACACTTAAAACTGTTATTGTTAATGGGGTAGGGGAGGGCCGAGGGGTTTTCTAAATGTTTACAACATTCAGGTTTAACACTTTGCTCATCACTAAACCAAATGCAAACATTGTTAGTATAGTCTTTCATATCGTTCAATGTGTAGATTGCTTGCACCCAAACCCCATACCTAGAGAAACCGCTTTTTGAGTCATATAATATTCAGACTACCAAAAAATGGTTTTTCTATCAATTACTCATAATTTCTTCAATTCAAATTAGGACAAACGTTTGTTAAATATCATAAATCAATAAAATAGTTGTAATAGTCATAGTTGTATTTATGCTTATTAAATCTAAAACGCTTCCAAAACGTCTCCAAACGGTTTCCCTACCCATACCAGACGCGACCCTAGAATTAGAGTCAAAAATATTACATTTTATATAATCAATATTGTGCTATTATTAATGTATACAGATCAATTTGAGTTTCATTAACAAAACAATTTTTAACTTTTTTGTGTTATAAATAGTTGTTACACTGTATAATGAATTTTAGTACAAAACTAGACACGATTTGTCACCATAAACTAAAAGTTAAAATTTACATCTTTGTGTTTTTGTTAGTGATAGGAATTTAAATTATTTGTAATTAATTTGCTTAAACAAAACAATATTAGTTTATTAATACGGGAACATTCATATTAGATATCCGTCGCTCAGACCGATCTCATCGGTAAAGCCGAAGTTGTTGTGTCCGCCAAAGGTTACGGCTTTTCACAATATACTCAACACTACCGGCGCTGGCATTCAGATAATGTGGACTCCCGTCAAGACCTATGATGGCCTTCACCTGCATTATAAGGTAAGTGCTCTCTTGTCTTTAGAGTGACCACAAGTGGTTTAATAATGCATTTTCTATCCACAGGTGGAGAAGTTGGTGTCAACCATGACCAATAAATGGACAATCGTGGCCAACACTACGGATACTAGCCATTGGGTGACAGGATTACCATGTTTTTCGGGCCATAAGTTCCGGGTCAGCGTTATGAACACAGTCTGTTCGTCGGAACCGCTCGTCTCGGCGACCATTTATACAAATAAAGACCGACCGTCGGCGCCGGTCGGACCCTTTGAGACGTTTAACGTTACCAACAAACCGGTATTCATTAGACAAACATTTGCGTTTTTATTATGTAATGTCTACATAAGCTCTCTCTCTCTCTCTCTCTCTCTCCCCCGCTCTCTCAGAATCAGTTAATAATCCTATGGAAACCCCCGGAGCGACTGTGCGGCGGACCCCTCAGCCACTACACCATTGAAAAGCTATTGGAGGGTTTGGGCCGCAAATGGCAGACCATTGGCCACACGTCTAAACTTATCATCAAAATCAAGAGTCTGAACGCTCAGAACAGAGTCCGCTTTCGGGTCAAAGCGGTCAACCCGTACGGCGAGTCCGAGCCCCTCGTGTCCGACTGGATCGGTGGCAACAAACCACTCGTTAACACTCCTACACACGTTATCACCCCTACCGGCGGCGATAGTAAGCGCACGAACCCGACTGTCCAATCAGGACTGCCCCGCAGTCCTGTCTGGCGCCGTCTGTCTAAGCCTAGCGATGGGTATATACCGCCTAATTATATGGATATTATACGTGCAAATGACATGAATGATATTGATTGGGAACATTATGTTGGCATGTGATTCGAGTGTTTTTAATTTATTAATAATTATTATTTATTTGTTAATTTAATTTAATTAAATTTTCATTTATTTAATAAATTTTTTTTGTGCTTAATATTTGTTGTTGGTCATTTAGTTGATTTTTATGAATAATTAAATTTACTAAATTAAAATGAAATAAGTATTGCTTATTAATTTAATTATTGAACATTAAAACTGTAAATTTAATGTGATGAAAATGTTAGAAATATTAGACTTGATCAATTTAATATTAATTTGGTCCATAGAGTTGTCACTACAATTTTAGATAAAAATTAAATTGCCTGATTCAAATTATTTGTTGATAAAACTGCAACGGATAAAATAAACCACTTGATAGTTATTTATAAAATTATTACCGTATTACGCCGCATATATGTGCATGCACTTATATTTGAGTTTTCACACAAGGGGTGCATCTATATCCGGATATTGGTGCGGTAGTTTTTTAAAACAATTTTTACATTTTAATTGAAATCCACATATTCATTAAAATTAAAATCATAAGATGTGTAATTAGACTTTTAACACTATAGTGCGTCTAAATGTTTGAAATTTAGGTGTATTTTTTTTAAATTAATGAGTTTTAATATTCTTACATTACGTATAAATATTTACATCAAATTTTAAATATATTACAGAAATAAGTTTTAATTATTAATTTAATTATTTAACATTAAAACTGTTAATTTGAAGCGATGAAAATGCTAGTAATATTAAACTTGATCAATTTAATATAAATTTGGTCCATAGAGTTGTCACTACAATTTTAAATAAAAATTAAATACTTTTTTTTTGTTTGTTTTAATAAAAGATAAAATAAACCAGTTAATAATAATTTAAAAATTGTCAAGATAAATTGTTTTACAAATAATATATAATTTTACACTTCTATTAGCAACTAAATATCAAAACAAAATTCTTGATTATTACTAAAGCAACCAATAAATGAGTCATTTAATATGCAGACTAAACAAAAACTATGAATTAGTTAGAGAATCAGAAT